TAGGTAGTATAAGAAAAGTCAAGGTAGTATAATTCTTGTTATTGTTTAATGTGGGAATAAACAGGTTTACCCTTTTTTTTCTTTTTAAATATCTTCAACCATGATGTACTTGCTTCCCGAGTGTGGTAAGAAGGCTTTTAAGGCTGTGACATGTAAAACTTCATTGCATTGTAATACTCTTGAATATATAAGTAACCTGTATATAAGTACTGACTTCTTCAAAAAGACCAAAATTTTTTCTTTTTTAGAGAATACCAATAACTATTCTTGGTCTGGATTCTAGTATCAGATACTTAAAATAAAAGCTTTGAGGAAAGAGGATAGAGTATAATGAAATATGTCTCCCCTGGTTAGATGAGCGTTACTTGTAGGACCTTGAAAGGTTAGCGAAAAAAATGAGTTGAAATTCTTTTTCCTTCTCTCCCCTTCCCTTAACCAACCTTCTTCAAGAGAAGAATTGAACTGGTGATTTTAAAACTGTAAAGGATATACAGCATACAGTCATAAATGTAGTCACAATTATTTGAATAATCTTAGAGAATTTAGGAACATGCTTCTCTGAGAATCTGTTAACTATTTCCAAAGGCTTAAACTGGAAAATATATCATGTCATCGTGTATGTTCAAAACTGACATAAGAGAACAATTTTCAGTTTATAAGTATCTTGGAATGTAATAAAGAGCCTACAGATTTTAATTTTAAAGCTTGCTTATTAGGAAGAGAATTCACTTTGAGATTTTTTTCTACTTTGTATTATTTGGACAGCACAATCCTCTTGTTTCCTTTCCATGTAAAATGGACTTTGTGAGGATCAGTAGAGTTAGAACATTAAGACATTCTGAGGCTGTAAATCAGGAATGAATTAGATGATGGGGAAAAGGCATATGTGGTTAATTTATTGAGAAAGACTAGTTAGCTTTTTCATTTTACTTAAAAGATAAAGTTAATATGTATTCTGTTAATGAATATCTCTGTAGATAACTTTCTCTGCAGCACTTTTTATTGCCATGGATGATATTGCTGGAAGAAAATTACTGAGTTAAAGAAAATCTGCCTTTTTAAGGCTCTTAATACATATTGTCAAACTACTCTCCAGAATGTTCTCTGAAGCCCTGATTATAGTAACAAAAAGTATTAGAAACAATCAGTTGGTTAATGGTTAAACCATTACCATTTGAGTAATGGTTAAAGTATGGTATATCTTTATGATGGGATATAATGCAGTTGTTCAAAAGAATGAAGCAAGTTAATATGCATTGACACTGAAAGACATCTACAAGTTGTTTGGTGAAAAACACTACTTACAGAAAATATGTACGATATGATTCCATTTTTGTAAAACAAAAGCAAAAAGCAAAACTATATTTGTATTGAAAAAACTGGAATTCTACAGGTGCAAGTGTCCTATGAGAGCAGAAATGAGAGGTTTGGAGGAGAGATATTTTTACTTTATGTACTGATGTTTACGTTTTGGAGAAATGCTTTTTTTTTATTGTGGTAAAAAATATATAACAAAACATTTATTATTTCAGTCCCTTTTACATGTACAATTCAGTGTCATTATGTTCACCATGTTGTGCAGCCGTTACTGTTTCCAATTTTTTTCATCACCCTTAAGAGAAATTTAGTGTCCCTTAAGTGAACACATTATTTTTGTAATAATTTTTTAGGATGATAGAGTATAATTATAATGATAGCTAACACTTTCATAGCACTTACCGTATACTAGGCACGTTTCTTGATTTTCTTTGTGCTTTATTCATTTAATCCTTGTAACAACCCTATGAGGTTATTGTTGTTAGGTGCCGTCTAGTCGGTTCTAACTTGTAGCAGCCCTGTGTACAACAGGATGAAGCATTGCCCGGTCCTGCGCTATCCTCACGATCGTCGTTAATGCTTGAGCCCATTGTTGCAGCCACTGTGTCAATCCATCTCATGAAGGTCTGGCTCTTTTTTGCTGATCCTCTACCTTACCAAGCATAATGTTGCCTCCTGATAACATGTCCAAAGTATGTGAGACGAAGTCTTGCCATCCTCATCCTCTCTTCTAAGGAGAATTCTATCTGTACCTCTTCCAAGACAGATATGTTCGTTCTTCTGGCAGTCCATGGTATGTTCAATATTCTACGCCAACACCATAATTCAAACGCAGCAATTCTTCTTCAGTCTGCCTTATTCATTGTCCAGCTTTCGGATGCCTATGAGGTGATTGAAAATACCATGGCTTGAGTCAGGCACACCTTAGTCCTTAAAGTGATATCTTTGCTTTTTAACACTTTAAAGAGGTGTTTTGCAGCAGATTTGCCCAGTGCAGTGTGTGTTTGATGTCTTGACTGCTGCTTCCATGGGCATTGATTGTGGATCCAAGTAAAATGAAATCCATGACAACTTCTATATTTTCTCCATTTATCATGATATTGCTTCTTGGTCCAATTGTGAGAATTTTTGTTTTCTTTATGTTGAGGTGTAATCCATACTGAAGGCCATGGTCTTTGATCTTCATCAGTAAGTGCGTCAAAGTTTCTTCACGTTCAGCAGGCAAGATTGTGTCATCTGCGTATTGCAGATTGCTAATGAGTCTTTCTCCAGTCCTGTTGCCCTATTCTTCATATAATTCATTTTCTGTGTGCTTTATTCATTTACTCCTGGTGACAACCCTATGAGAAACCTGTTGCCGTCAAGTTGATTCTGACTCATAGTGACCCTACAGGACAGAGTAGAACTGCCCTGAAAACCCCATGAAGCACAGTGCTATTCTAATACACGTGACTTTGTCATGAGTCAGGTCCACTTGACGGCAGCTGATACAGGGCTGGGACAACCACTGGGGCTGACGTAAATGGATAAAGAAGGAAGAAAGGATAACTTAATTTTTATTTAGCAAATTTTTATTTAGGGTTTCCAAGGAGCATCTGATGGATTTGAACTGCCAACCTTTTGGTCAGCAGCCAAATGCTTAACTGTGCCACCAGGGCCCCAGCAAACCCTATGAGGTGGATACAATTATTGTCCCCTTTTTATAGACAAGACATCTGAGACAGAGAGAGGTTAAGTAAATGTCCATGGTATAACTACTGGTAAGAGGTAGAGTGGGAGTCTGGCTCCAGTCTGTGCTCTTAACCACTGTAGCATATTGTTTGCCTTAAGTAGAAATCTTAGTTATGCTACAAGGTGTTAAGGTAACCATGGAGATCCTTTTTATTACGCTTTTCTATGTATGTCTTCTCAGGTTCTTAAAATATATGTTAGATTATGATTGTTTACATATTTTTAGTGAAGAAAGTAGAATTCACATATTGGGTTGGAAAACCTTCAAAAAATGAAGATTCAGAAAACCTGGTATTGTTACAGACTTTTTTCTCTTTGATCAAATACCTCAAGTGAACGTTAATTATTTTAGGGAAGACTGGTTTTCATAAAGACCCATCTGGAACTCCTGGTTCCTTAGCTCTGCTTCTGTCAGAGCAGCTCTGGTTTTTTGTTTGTTTTTGGTTTATTTTACATATTAGGCTTCTGTACAAGAAGAACTGGTTCCATTGGTTTAAAAAAAGTTTGAAAATCCTAGAAACAGTAGGAGTAGGGAAAAAAACCCGTTTTTTAGTTACCAATATTCATTCTCTCTCTCTCTC